GAAGAGGAATGGGAAGGAGTGGTGGCAGAATTTCCAGAAGTTTTCCCAGCAAAGTTGAAGTTTCCTCCAGCTAGGGATTGTGATCATGCTATAAATATCAAGGAAGGGGCCAACATCCCAAATTTGAGACCTTACAGGTATTCTTTTGACCAAAAGAATGAGATAGAGAAAATCATTGATGAAATGCTGAAATCTGGAATAACCAAACATAGTAACAGTCCATATAGTAGTCCTGTTCTTTTAGCTAAAAAGAAGGACGGGGGTTGGAGGTTTTGTGGGGATTATAGGGCCCTAAACAAAGTGACTGTGCCTGACAAATTTCCAATTCCAGTCATAGAAGAGCTTCTTGATGAATTGGGAGGAGCTAGAATCTTTTCAAAATTGGATTTAAAGTCAGGTTATCATCAGATCAGAATGAAGGATAGCGATACTCATAAGACTGCCTTCCGGGCCCATGAAGGGCATTATGAGTATTTGGTCATGCCATTTGGGCTGACGAATGCTCCTTCAACATTTCAGGCTTTAATGAATGAAGTTTTGAGACCTTTCTTAAGAAAATTTGCCTTAGTGTTTTTTGATGATATTCTAGTTTACAGCAAAACTAGGGAAGAACATAAAGAACAGTTAAGGCAGGTCTTGGAGATTTTATAAAAGAATGATTTGGTGGCTAACCAGAAGAAGTGTTCCTTTGGTCAAGGGAAGTTGAATTATTTAGGCCATATCATTTCTGAAAAAGGAGTGGCAGCTGACCCTACCAAAATTGAGGCTATGAAGAATTGGGCTGTCCCCAAAGATCTGAAGAGGTTGAGGGGTTTCTTGGGCCTAACTCGTATTACAGGAGGTTTGTGAAAAATTACAGTAGAATTGCTGCCCCACTTACAGTCCTTTTGAAGATCTGAAAACTGCTATGATCTCTGTACCAGTTCTCAGGATTCCAGATTTCAATAAATTGTTTGTGGTAGAAACTGATGCCTCAGGGAAAGGTTTGGGGGCTGTTTTGATGCAAGAAGGAGGGCCAATTGCATATATGAGTAAAGAGTTGTCTCCTAAGCATTTAAATAAATCAGTCTATGAGAAAGAATTGATGGCCATTGTTTTTGCAATACAAAAATGGAGACCATACTTACTGGGAAGAAGTTTTGAAGTCCATACTGATCAAAGAAGCCTGAAATATTTAACTGAGCAGAAAATCATGGGGGAGGATCAACAGAACTGGATAGCAAAGCTTATGGGTTATAATTTCATCATTAAGTATAAGCCCGGGTGTGAAAACAAGGCTGCAGATGCTCTTTCAAGAAGGTTCAATTTTTCTGCCCTATCCATAGTTACCTGCCAAGAGTGGAAGGGTCTAGAAGAGGAGTTGCAGGCTGATTCTAAATGTGGGGATATCATACAGAAGGTACTCAGTCAGCTAGATCAACATATGGATTATAAACTGAAGGGAGGTTGTTATATTACAAAGGGAAGCTGAGGTTACCTAAAGGATCTGGAAGGATCCTAACCATCATGAAGGAGTATCATGACTCAGCAGTGGGGGGGCATCCAGGCTACTTCAGGACTATGAAAAGGATATCCAGTCTATTCTTTTGGCCTGGAATGAGATCTGACATCAAGGATTACATACAAAGTTGTGATATTTGTCAAAGAAATAAATACCAGGCCCTTAAACCTGCAGGTTTATTGCAGCCTTTACCAATTCCTGAGCACATCTGGACAGATATAAGCATGGATTTTATAGGTGGATTACCTAAATCCTATGGGAAGGACACTATATTGGTGATTGTGGATAGATTTACTAAGTTCGCTCATTTTCTGCCCTTGTCACATCCATTTGATGCTAAGGAAGTGGCTGAAGTTTTGTTCAGGAGGTGGTCAGAATTCATGGATTTCCCAAGTCTATTGTCAGTGACAGAGACAGCATTTTTCTTAGCACTTTCTGGTGAGAGTTATTTAAACTGACAGGTACTCAGTTGAGGTATAGTACTGCATACCATCCTCAGAGAGTCAGAGTGATGGACAGACAGAAGTGGTAAACAGGTGTGTGGAAACTTACTTGAGGTGTGTAACTGGAAGCAAACCTAAGCAATGGGTGAAGTGGTTACCTTGGGCTGACTTTTGGTACAATACAAATTACCATATCTCTCTCAAGAATACTCCTTATCAAGCCTTATTTGGACAGGATCCTCCTGCCATAATAAGAGGAGATGTGAGTTTAACTGCTGTAGCTGAGGTATCTAGACTGACAGCTGAGAGAAATGAGATACTGAAGGAATTAAAAGAAAATTTGGCTAGAGCTCAAAATCTGATGAAACAACAAGCTGACAAACACAGACGGGAAGTGGAGTTGAAGGTTGGAGATCAAGTGTTCCTGAAAATACAGCCCTACAAAATGAGGAGTTTGGCAAGAAGGATCAATCAGAAACTTAGTCCCAGGTTTTATGGTCCTTATGAAATCATAGAGAAGTTGAATTCTGTGGCTTTCAAACTCAAGCTGCCAAGTGATTGTAGAATACATCCTGTAATTCCACATTTCCTTGATTAAGAAGGTGTTGAAACTATCAAGAACTTCCAAGGTGTCTTACAGAAGAATGTGAACTACAAGTGCAACCTGAGGAGATTAAAGAAGTCAGAACGAATCAAAAAGGGAAGAGGGAACTCCTGATAAATTGGAAGGGTCTTCCGGAGTTTGAGGATTCATGGGAAGAAGAACAAATCATCCAAGAACAATTCCCAGATTTCCAACTTGAGGGCAAGTTGGATTTTCAGGAGGGGAGTATTGACAGAGACACGTGTGCAGCCAGCAAGAAGGATAGATACTATGGTCAAGTTTATTCTAGAAGGAATAAATAGACTAGTGGTTTGTTAGTTACTTTCATTTAAATAATTGTAACTACTTTCAGTTAGTCAGGGGTCTATAAATAGAATAAGGAGGGAGAAGGAGAGTAGGCTGTTAGATCTCTGGACTGGCACTGGGAAGATTAGAGAATAGTTTCTCTTCTCTTTGGGACTTGTTGTACAGTGAACCTCCATTAATGAAGTATAACGGTTTCTGAAGCTCGTTTTACAGAGAATTAATATAACATACCTGCGCTACACTATCACCAACAGAGTCCTAACTTCATTCTTGTTGTTGAAAAAAATTAACAAAAAATAACTAAATTCAGTAACAAGCATTCTTGGGCAACAAAGTTGTGCAGTGCAGGAAGCGTGGGGTAGAGAGGATGACGAAATTGGCAAAGTTTGAGCAACTTCAATTTCTTGAAAAGTAGAACATGATCACATAACATGTAAATAATTAGTTGACACGTTCTGCGTGAAACCTTATGGGGCCATTCTATGGCAAAAACATTCGTCTGATCTGTTTGCGATTGAATATTCAGATCAAAATACCCCAAGAAGGCCAAGAACAATCATAAAAACATTGTAATATTGGGAATCATAAAAGAAAAAAGTCCCAAATTTATTATGGAATATTGGAATGTTTTTAAATAAAGATAAGAGTAAAAATAACTGTAGAAAATTTCTATGGGCCCATACAACCCAGGATTGCACATCTTAGGAGCCCAACATATCAAAATTCAATACTATGCAGAATACATATGCATCGCGACGGTGTGCAATGTGCAATTGTAGCTTAATAGTTTAGATAACAATCTTGTGGTCCAGTATAATATGCTATCCTACTTGTCTAGTTATAATGTAAACTAATATAGTATGTTCCTTCAAAGCTTAAGCTGTTCATTTTCAACTAATGATTGAAACATCTTTAGTACTAAAAATTTAGGACCTGAAGTTGAAGGTGGGTCCACTAAAACACAACAAACTCAACATTGTTTTTTGAGAAACCAGCAGTCGCTAACTCCGACGAATTTCAGGCAATATCTGTTAATCATCCTAAGAGATTGTGGATGTTTTAACTATGTTGAGGTCTGGAGGGTCAAACCTACAGCAACTCACTTGGACACACTAAACAAATGTAGCTAATCGTTCAAGTGTGCTCCCCACTAACAGAGCATCAACTCAAAGGTACAGAAAACACAAATTCACTAAGAAAAAGATCCACCAGTTTAAAGACATACAAGTTCCCAAAGAATCACATCAGGATGAACGATGTGCTTCTTTATGGAAATATTACCAAAAAATGGACCCTAAATTAATGAGCTTTACAAGAAAGGTGAACTGTGAACATACAACTAGAGGAAGGCACATACATATCTCGGACAAAGGGACAAAAGGAGAAAGAGATAGGTGCTTATATATGAAGTTAAACTCTAGAGTCTGTGAGTTAGGAAGAAAGTTTGACAAAGGAAAAAATCTGTTCAAACAAAAAAAACTCCCCCTCTGGACTGCAGGTTTCATTTAGGAAGTTTGATGTTTTAAATTCTTATATTTCAAAAGACACCAAATTTTAGACACATAATATTAACAATTTTTATTAGTATTATTAGCTTATTTCATCTCAAAGTATCATCAAATTCACAAATCTATCCTATTCTTTGACGTTTATCAAAAAAAGATTCAAAGTTAATCTTTTTCAACAATTATGCTTTTCTGTTTTGTTTTTCCAAAATTACACATTGTTATCAACACCAATGAGATGTTAGCAATACAAGTTTGTAGACTTAAAACTAGAAAGAAATGAAAAAATGTGAAATATTAATATGATTTTCTTCTTAAGTTTTACTATATTCATCCATGGAAAGTGTAATTGTGAGAAAGTTGAAGTTTGAGTCTTTTTTAATAAAAGTGAAAGTATGGAATAAATTTGTGAGTTTGACCATAGTTGGGGATATAGATAGTATTTAGCTAATAATCCTTTTTCTTAAAAATTTCGAGTAAAAAATATCAGAACGCAATATATATATCCAGGAGTATCTATCCATTGATGCAATATTCATCACACAAGCCTCTCAAGTCTCAAGCAATTATTAAATACTCGAAACTTAATGTTTTACAGCTGACATGGAGAATCGATCATAAACAGGTAGGACTCCACTTACATGGTTGGCAAAATAAGGGGCGATTTTTGCTTCATGTCAGGATTTGGGTATTCTTTTCTGCTCCGTATGGCAGTAGACCGATTTGCGTAGATGAGCTTTGTTGCGAGAAATGGAAATTTAATTCCTCTTCAATGAAGTGATGGAAAAGGCGACGACGAGTGCAGACGGCTGCAGCCGGACAAGCGGGTAGAGTTCTCCAACAGCAACCACCCTTGCCCTGACCGGTTAGAAACCTTCGCAAGTCTTAAGCCAATTTTTTTGAGAGTCAAAATACACGAAGGCATAGACACGAATAATTTAATGTGAACATACTTTTAAAGAAAATGCAAAAACGTACGTGCCTTAATTAACATGCAAAATAGTAATATTTGTAGTAATATTTGAAGACCTTTATAATTAAGAAGATAATTGAATTCGTTAATTTAAACATAGTTGAATCATGTTTTCAAAATAATCAAATAAAAAATTACTTAAATACATTCTTCTTTGAACATTGTGAAATAAAGTCATCAACTATAGCTTCATATTCAAGCTTTTCCAAACATTATGCTCAATCCTTAATATAGCTAATTCATTAAGCCTTTCTTGAGACATTGTTGATCACAAATAATTTTTTAGAATCTTCAGCTTTGAAAAATTTCTCGTCTTCATTTTTTCTTCCGTCCAAATTCAACCATTTTTATTAAACCTTAAAATTAGTTAAATTAATAAATTCTATTATAATTGATAATTTACATAACAAAATGAACAAATTAACTGTATTATTTATTAATCGAGTGACTATTTATCGACTATTCATAATCATTTATAAGCATTAAACAACTATGAATAAAATTAACTTATCAATTCATACTGATCACATAATCATATGTGAATATTAATCAAATAAATTAATAAAAGAAAATATTGAAAATTGTAATTTTGTATTTCTGTAAAACAATGGCCAAATTACTAAAGCTGAAGGTCGAAAGGTGTACCTGATGAAGAGTTTGAGAGAATAATGTTTTCACACATTGCATTCTGTAACCGAGTGGTAGTATATATACACAAGTATTAGATCTAATCTAGATAACTAACTCTAGGAGAATTATACGTATATGATCTAATCTTGATAACTGACTCTAGGATAATTACAAGTGTGAAGAGATAAATACAACAATAAATGTACATAATAATTTTATGATTTAATACGCCCCGCAAGATGGAAGTTCCATTGGAAACATCCATCTTGATTCTGAATTGTTCAAATAGAGCTCGGCCCAGAGGCTTGGTGAGAACATATGCAATTTGTAATTTTGTAGAGATATGCTGAACCCGGAGAAGCCCTTTTTCCACCAAGCCGCGAACAAAAAAATAGTCCAAATCAAGATGTTTCATCCGGGAGTGGAATACGGGGTTTACACAAGTGTAGGTAGCTCCAAGGTTGTCACAAAAAGGAGTGGGAGTAGAGGACAGTTTGATGCTAAGATCACGAAGCAAGTGGCGCACCCACATTAATTCAGCACTCGCATTAGCCACAGGCCGATATTCAGCTTCAGTAGATGAACGAGACACACACTTTTGTTTGGTTGATTTCCACGAAATAATGTTGGGCCCCAGATAGATGATATAGGTCGTGGTAGACCGTCCTTGATCATGCACACCACCCCAGTCAGAATCTGAGAAAACCGAGAGGTGGAGGCCAGTAGAATGGCGCAGAACTAAGCCATAATCTAACGTACCTTTGAGATAGCGCATGATGCGCTTGACAGTTTGCCAGTGTGTGTTGGTGGGGCATTGCATGTACTGCGAGAGTTTGTTAACAGCATAGGAGATATTCGGCCGCGTGAATGCTAGATATTGAAGTAGTCCAAGGGCTCTTCTGTACATATTCGGATCGGCCGGGGTAGCACCGGATGTCGAGGACAGCTCCACAGCAGTGCTCATGGGCGTGCTAGTTTCCTTAGCACCACCCATGTTACATGTATCAAGGATGTGGAGAATATATTGTCTTTGCGTGAGAAACAGTCCACCATTATATGGGATAACCTCGATGCCCAGAAAGTGATGAAGTGGACCTAAGTCTTTGACTGAAAACTTTGTTGTGAGTTTGGTAACAAATACATCCAATGCAGCTGAGTCATTGCCTGTTAATACAATATCATCAACGTATACTAAAAATAGATTAGGACACCATTGTGAGAATAAATAAAGAGAGAGGCATCGGCATGAGACTTTTTTAACCCAACTGAGGTTAAGAACATGGTGAGTTCCAGGTACCAAGCTCTAGGAGCTTGCTTTAAGCCATAAAGCGCCTTACGTAGCCGACAAAGATGATTTGGACGTGTGGTGTCAATGAAACCATGATGTTGAGTCATGAATACTTCCTCACTTAAAGTACCATGCAAGAATGCATTATTTACGTCAAGTTGACGTAGTTTCCACCGATTGGCAAGTGCGATGGAGAGAACAATACGGATGGTTGTCGGTTTAGTAACCGGGCTAAATGTGTCAAAATAATCTCGTCCAGGCTGTTGCATGAAGCCACGTGCAACAAGGCGTGCTTTGTATCTGGCAATAGAACCATTCGGGTGTCGTTTGATGCGGAACAATCACTTACATGATATAGGAGTTTGATTTGTTCTCGGAACAAGGTCCCATGTATGGTTTCTGCGTAAGGCTGTATATTCATCGTCCATGGACGCTTTCCACTTAGGATCAGTAAGAGCTTGAGACACACTGTTGGGTTCTAAGGTGAGTGGGATAGGATGGGTTGTAGTAAGATTAACGAAGGGGTCTCTAAGAAACCGAGAGTTGGGTTTCCGAAGACGAATAGGACGCGAAGGGATGGAGTGTGGTATAGGTGCAGTTGACCCTTGTAAATTGGAGTCAACAGTGGGTTGGACATTGGGTGTCATGTTGGCAGGAGATGGAGGGTTAGTTGATTGGGGTGGTGACTTGTCATGTGGAGAAGAATTAAGATGAGGAGGGTCGGTGGTATTAATTAGGGGGAGTGAATGAGTTTGCTGGGAGGTGGAAGTAAGTGGGGTCGAGGGATGGGTGTGATCAGATAATGTCAGGTGGGTGGAGTGGTTAGGAGGTGATGGATGGGAGAGATTTGGGAGAAGGGGCGATATGCTAGGGGAAGGGATGGAAGTGACAGGTGGGTGGGTAGGAACTGATAGTGGAGAAATGGGGATAAGTGACCGAGTAGTTGGGGACGCGCGCGTACATGCAGGGAGTTGCGTAGGCGACGTAAAATTATGCACTTCAGTTTGCCGAGATTGAAGGGAGACGTTGGTTGACTCAGATTTTTGAAATGGGAACTCAGTAGGGATAAAACGAACGTGTCGTGACACATAAACTCTGTCGGTAAGTGGGTCAAGACAATAATAGGCAGATTGAGAAAGAGAATAACCAATAAAGATGCACAGTTTTGAACGAGACTCGAGTTTTGTAGTAGTATATGGACGTAACCACGGGTAGCATAAGCACCCAAACGGCTTTAGTTTAAGATAATTCAGGTCTTTTTGATATAGACGAGAAAACGGAGTGTTATTATGTAGAGTAGGTGTGGGTAGACGATTAATGAGATAAACAGTCGTTTGAAATGCATATGGCCAGAACTGAATAGGGACATTGGAGAAATGAAGTAAGGATAATCCAGTTTCAACAATGTGACGGTGATGACGTTCAGCCAAACCATTATGCTCAGGAGTATGGGGAGGGGTGGTGAAGTGAGAAATACCATGCTGACTCAGATATGATTTTAGTTTGATATATTCACCGCCATTATCCGTAAAGAGGGAAATGATGGGATGATGAAAATAATTTTCCACTAATTTATGAAATTGAGGAAAAATGGTGTGAACTTGAGATTTTTGTTTGAGTGGAAACAACCACATGTAGCGTGAGTAATAGTCCACAAACAGTACATAGTATCGATAACCATTCACACCAACAATACTAGTAGTCCACACATTAGAGTAAATTAATTCTAGAGGTTTTGTAGCATGCATGGTAATAGTGAAGAATGGAAGTTTGGTGATTTTATTAACTGAACAGGAATTACATGAATTAGAAGACGACTTAATACCCGTTAGGGGAATTTTATTTTGACAAACTAATTGACGACAAATACGACTAGATGGATGACCAAAAATGTGATGCCACAGAGATGGCTCCTGAACTTGAGACAGATGTACTTGAGGTGAAACTGGGACTGGTGCATAATAAACGTCATTACGGTTCTCCCCGCGTAGAAGTGGCGCCCCCGTGATCTGGTCCTTAACAATAAAATGTGAATCGAAAAATTCAACAGAAACATTGTTAGTACGACACAGTTTTGCAACTGACACGAGATTTTTATTGAGGCTAGGGACACGTAGTATATTTGATAGGGACAAGGGCTTGGAGAGGGTGGGTAATGTAGTGTGACCAGTGTGAGTAATTTCAAGCATCTTACCATTCCCAAGTTGAACCTCGTCCGGACCGCCATAATCTGAATAAGTGGGGAGTTGAGATACATCAGATGCCACATGATGAGAGGATCCGCTGTCAAAGAGCCACGGCTGATTCGGATGAGATGCAATCACTGAGGTATGATTGACATGTGGTGAGGCAACCATAGAAATCTGATTATCTCTTAAAAAACGTTGGAGCTTCCGACAGACCCGTACATCATGACATGCATGGTCACAAAATTTGCATGTAATATTAGATGTAGGTCGGGCAGGTGTTCCACCCGAGGCACCTCTGCCGTGATGATAGGAGGGAGTTCGCCGATCATAATGTTGGCGATCAGTGGGCCTAGAAGAGACATGCATGGCATTGACCGTCGGAATGAGGGCCTCGACGGCAGTAGCATTTTGTTGCAATCGAGTTTCATGTTCGAGCAAGATGTCTTGAAATTCCGCCAATGGTAGTGCTGATGACTGGACCCGAATAGCAGAGGTAATTTCGCTATTCTCAGATCCGAGACCATTTAGGATATTAATGACAAGATCTTCCTCAGACACGGGACACTGAGCGAGGGCCAAAGCTTCGACAATGGATTGCATCTCGGCAAGGTACATGGTGATGGAGTTTGACCCTTTCTTGGTGCGAGCAAGTGTTGTTTTGAGAGATATTATGCGGCCACGAGATCTGCTTGCAAAGGTGAGCTGCAGTTTATCCCACGCCTGTTTGGACATGAGAGCTGATGAGATGACTGGTTGGATGGTGTCAAAACAGCTTCCGAGAAGTGCACTGATTATCATCTTGTCTTGGCGATACCAGATCCGGTAGCATGGATTTATATGTGTTTT